GTTACTAAGGGGTTCCCATAAACCCACTTAGCCTAAATCTCACTTTTACGGTTATCCTATAACTGTACACGCTTCTGTTTTCTAGTCACTGTGAGAAACCCACTTGCTATAACATTCTCATTTTTAGTATGTTAATCTAGACTTAATTACCTTTCAAACAAGGTATCACACGTCTCATTTGGAGTTCTCTAGCTCCGGTTATCACCGTTTGAAGTTGAACAATCAAAACTGTCTGCCAACCCCAAACAGAGCTCCAAACATCCCTCACCATTTCTTTGATTATAAAAAATATCATAAAATAACTGCTTTCAAATTTTTATACAGATAACTAGATACCTTGAGCTTTAATTTGATATATCATGAGCATAATTTGAGTAAGAACTGAGGGAGAAACAATTCGTGAAAGATGCAGACCCGTACAGCCCCTGCACATGACCTCCCTGGGCAGTCTCTACTCAATCGAACCTACAAAATTCTACACCTCTTCAAATGGTACCAAATTTTTACACAACATAGCTGATATCTCAAGCTCCAAAATGATGTATGGTATGTCCCTATTAGACCTTTGTGGAGGGAGATATGCTCTCCCAAAGTTAGCCTAAAACTATTCGTTTAACCAAAGTGTGTTTAATTAGCGAATCCTAATTAGGTTTAGTTGGAAACCCTAAGTGAACATAAATTTAGGGTTTTTCATTTATTTATATTCCTTATGTAATTCCATATCCTCACTTATGCATTAGTTCATTTACTTCACTAATTACATGATTAGTGGTCCTAAACCCTAATTAGGTCAAATTTTAGGGTTCAAGAGTTAATTAATCAATTATACTAAATCCACTCACTCAATCCCTTCATTAGTGTTCTAATTAAGTCTTAGAACATATTTTAAAATTTCAAAATCTAGGTTACACCATATGGCTGAATTGCATAGTGCACAAAGTTAGGGTTTTTAGTTGTCTTTTTAATTTCTTTCTTTGTTTAATCAAGTACCTCAAGCCATTAATCCACAAAGGTGTCATCTATATTAATTTTAACCATCAAACCCTAATTTAAATGAATAGGGAAGAATCATCGAGGTTAATTTTAGGGTTCTTAGTTCATCCATTTCAAGAAACAACTCACACACAAGCCAAAGATGATACATTTTCTTACAAATCTTCATCTTTCTTGAGTTTAAGACTTCCACCAACACATTTAAACACCAAGACTCCATTTTTAAGAAAATAAACATCATTAACACCATAAAATCATGTTGGCCGAAATCAAAGTGAAGGAAATGAGGGTTTTTGGTCATCTTTTCCATGGATTCAAACTTTACTTCTCTGAGATAACTACTTTAACTCAAGTTCAAGATTTTACCCTCCAAGAACGCTTCTTTTTCTCCAAGAACACACCTTCATGAAATATTAAAAGGATTTAGAACTAAGAACATAAGTTTAAAAGAGTAAATGTAGGTTTTTCAAGAAGAAAATGCAATGAACTGACACTAGGAACTCAAAGAATGACCAAAGGAAATGTGTTCTTCATCAAAGAGGTTCAACCACCATTTTTTTTGCCATAAAAGGAAGGAAATGGAGTTGTTGTATGGAGGAAGTTCAACCACGAAATTTTGGTTCCAAGGTTCAAAAATACTAGCTTTCACAAGTTCAAGAGCTAAGGAACAAGATCGGAGGATTTTGATGAAGTTTAAGTGGTGAAATCTTAGAGAGAATGTGGAGAAAATTTGAAAATCTCCAAGGTAGAGAGACAAGTGTTTGGGCTACTGATGAGGGTGAGGAAGAGAACGTTCTTTATGTTTTTAAGGTTTTGCCATGTCGCCTAAGTGACTTTCTGTCATTTAGTGACACCTAGTATAATTTTTCTTTGAACTGTTATCAGATTTTTATCCGAAAACCACCAAGCTCCCACTTTAAGTAATTAATATTAAGTTTGTTTAATTAAAATGTTTCTAACTCAAAATCTAATTAGTAACTGACAGATACACTTACTGCTGTTTAACTACACTGTAGTCCTTACGGGTATCCTTAACTGTACCCGGACTTCATAACTTTCTTAACTTTACATCATTGGTCTAATTATTAATTTTTTGGCATATTTGGACTTATATTCCTTTTTCTCGTCTTTTTCTCATTTCAAAACTATACTTGTTGCTGTCACAGTAGTAACAGTGACTTTATCAAAATATCCCAATATGGTATCAGAATTCACATAATCAAATTCTCTTATCATTTACGATAATTATATCCTTAGAATAGTCCTCCATCTAAGATTCACTGATTAGGGTTGTCGGATACCTGTTACTGCCTCAGCAGTACAAACTATTAGGTCAAAACTCACTTTCTCGGAATACTCACAATATGGGTGTCAATCTTTACAGAATTGAATTCTAAACTCATCTATGATACTGGTATCATTATAGTAACTCTCTAACTCAGATTCACCTAGTTAGGGTTATTTTACTGTCTATTGCTGCATTAGCAATCAAAATTAACAGGCAGAAATCCACCTGTTTAGAATACTAACAATATGGATATCAAAATTCATATAATTTCTTCCTCATCTCTTTAATGACCCTTAGGTCCTCATAATAACTCTCTAATTTTGAATTATCCAAATTAGGGTTATTATATTCACCACACCTTTTCAAAAGATTTTGTCCTCAAAATCAGATCATACCTGATATCAAACTCAGGATATAGCTGGAGAATGTCATCCTCCCGCTCCCATGTGGCATCCTCTGATGTTAATCCTTCGCATTGGATCTTAACCATGGGAATAACTCTATTCCTCAACTGCTTCTCATCACGAGCTAGAACCTTAGTAGGTCTAACCATAAACTTCAGATCCTTCTTGATCTCTATATCATCATGCTGAAAAATGTGGGAGTCATCATATATGTGTCTGCGGAGCTGACTCACATGGAAAACATCATGTAAATTTGCCAAGTTCGGAGGTAGGGAAAGCTGATAAGCCACCGGTCCGACCCTCTTTACTATCTGACAGGGTCCAATAAATCGTGGACTCAACTTCCTAACTCCTAAGGCACGCCCAAAACCTGTGGTTGGTGATAATTTGATAAACACATGATCCCCTTCTGAATATTCCATGGGTCGATGCTTCCCATCATAATAGCTTTTTTGACGGCTTTGAGCTTTCTTCAGCCGATCTCTGATCATCTCTATCTGCTTTGTAGTCTTTTGAACCAATTCTGATCCCAATAACTGCTTTTTCCCAACCTCAGCCCAACATGTAGGTGTCCTACACCTATGGCCATACAAGGCCTCATTGGAGCCATGCCCAAACTAGCATGATAACTGTTATTGTAGGAGAATTCAACCAATGGCAGGTACTTGTCCCAAGCATTTCCCTGCTCTAGTGCACATGATCTCAACATGTCCTCCAATGTCTAAATGGTTCTCTCCGTCTGACCATCCGTCTGCGGGTGATATGTTGTACTCAATCTCAATTGAGTACCAAAATCCTCATGTAGTGCTCCCCAAAAATGGGAAGTAAACTTCGGGTCCCGATCACTAATAATACTCTCAGGAACGCCATGAAGCTTCATAATCTCTCTAACATATAATCTAGGTAGCTGCTCAGTGAAGAAAGTCGTCTTGACTGGAAGAAAGTGGGCAGACTTAGTCAATCTATCTACCACAACCAAAATAGAATCAAATCCAGCCTGACTCTTGATAATCCAACTACAAAGTCCATGGATATAATAGTCCATTTCCACTCAGGAATCTCTAATGGCTGTAATAAACCTGAAGGCCTCTGATGCTCAAACTTCTCTTTCTGACAAATCCAGCACTTGCTCACAAATTGAGCTATATCTCTCTTCATACCATACCACCAAAAATTTTGTTTCAAATCTTGGTACATCTTAGTGGCACCTGGATGAATGGTGTACTTACCCATACGGGCCTCAGTCAATAATTCTTTCACCATCTACCCTTTCAGAACAATAAGCTTGTCCTTGGAATACTTCACATTAGAATTATCCGTGAAGACAAAATCTTGTTCTTTCATCATCTAAATTTCTTTATCAAGTAATTGTGCCGCATTAATTCTTTCCGCAAGAGAATTCATGACTTCCACCATAGTCATGGCATGTGGGTTGTCTGGTGGAATCACAATAATATACATATCTCTGAATTCCTCAATCAACTTATATTCAGCAATCATTGAATTGGCCACACTCACAGTCTTTCTGCTTAAGGCATAAGGGTGAAAGGAAAGAGCTTGCGAAGCCCAATCCTTTCAAGCCCAAAGAAAAGTCAATAAAAAGACAGGTAAGGCAAAAGGTAAGGGCAAGGAAAAAAATGACACTGAGTGCTTCCATTGTGACAAGAAAGGCCATTGGAAGGGGAACTGTCCTGGCTACATCAAGAGAATGATGGAAAAGAAGCATGGTGATGCTTCTACCTCAGGTACTTACATCATTAAGGTTAATTTTTCTTGTGCTAACCTGGCTTCGTGGGTATTAGATACCGGTTGTGTTTCTCACATCTACAATATGTTGTAGGTGCTTAGGAATCCGAGGAAGCTTGACAAGAACGAGGTCGATCTTCGAGTTGGGAATGGAGCAAGAGTTACTTCATTGGCTATTGGAGATGTTGACCTTGTTTTGCCTACGGGCCTTATGTTGCTTTGAAGAATTGTCTTTATATTCCTAACATTTCTAGAAACATTATTTCTATTTCTTGTTTAGAACAAGAAGGTTTTGTATTTACTATTAAGAGTGATGAATTTTCTATCATTATGAATGATATTGTTTTTGCTATTGCTTCTTTGGTAATTGGTTATATGTTCTAGAAATGGAAAATAAAGTCCTCAATGTGAATGTGAAACGACCTAGGATAGATAATCAATCTTATCTTTGGCATTATAGACTAGGACACATAAACGAAACAAGATTGTCTAGGCTACATGCAAATGGATACCTAGATTCCATGGATTTAGAATCCTATGGACCTTGTGAGTCTTGTCTAGCAGGGAAAATGACTCAGACCAAGCCCAAAAGGCTTGAAAGTCATAGGGCTAATGAGTTGTTAGGACTCATTCACTCTTATGTACGTGGTCCAATGTCTGTCAATGCTAGAGGTAGATATTCCTACTTTATTACCTTTACTGATGATAAGTCAAGATTTGGTATGTATGCTTGATGAGACATAAATCTAAGGCCTTTGAAAAGTTCAAGGAGTATAGGAGTGAAGTAGAGAAACAACGATGCAAGATGATTAAGACCTTACGATCAAATCGTGGTGGCGAATATCTGAGCAACGAGTTTCAAGATTATCTAAATGAGAATGAGATTCTCTCACAGCTTACTGCGCCTTACACGCCACACCAGAATGGTGTATCCGAATGGAAGAACCGAACCTTATTGGATATGGTTAGGTCCATGATGAGTGAGACAGAACTCCCAAAATCATTTTGGGTGTGCCTTAAGCACTATAACATACCTTCTGAATGTGGTACCTTCTAAATCTGTTCAGACCATTCCATATGAGATATGGACTGGTAGAAGGCCAAACTTAAGCTACCTCAAGGTTTGGGGATCTTTGACATATGTCAAAGCATTGACTTCAAATAAGCTTAGTGCTAAGTGTACTAAATGTCTATTTGTGGGGTTGATAACACATATTTTGTTACACTTATTTGTTACTCTTGATTAGTATTTTTAGGATTTATTTGAATAAAATAATGATTGTTAGAGTTAATTTAGGTTTTTAGTTTTTAATTGGGTTTAATTTATTTTCGTCAGAATTTTTCAGCTTTACGTTACTTCTGTATTTTGGCCATATCTCGGTCCATAGTTGTCGGATTGACTCCGTTCTTGTTGGGTTTTTCAGATAACACAGAGAGCTACAATTCTTAGCAGAGCTCTAAGCCCAATTCGGACTAGAAGCTGGTCGATTTCGGACACCAAGTTGGACGCGTTTTGCTGAAGTTTTGTTTGACTATTGGGCTTGTAATTTAAATTAAAACCCAATTACTTAAGTGGCCCAAAGCCAAGTTTTATTGTTTCATTTTATTTTATTCGGTTTTTTATTTTATGTTTGGGCTGAAGCGATGAAACCCTAGCCGTCCTGCGTGACGGCTATTTAAAGGGGACTCTAGGAAACCCTTGGTAGTCAGTTTTTACAACAGAGAAGTTCTCTCTGAGTTTTTATTCAATTGCGTTCTTCATCTTTTTTGTTCTTCTTCTTCTTTTCATTTCAATTATGTTTACCTTAGCCATGCGAGGCTAAGAACCTTTTAATCAACCTAAGGGTAATGGATTCCATGGATTGGTCTTGAGGATCTGCGTTTATTTCAAATCAGTTTTGTTTCCCTTCCCAACTCAGATTGATATCGTGCGATCGTGGATATTCAATCTGAGGTTCGCGATTGCGATTATGGAAAGGGATTAATCATCAGATTTGATGATTAGGTTGATTGACCCTATGACCTTAAATCAAGCGGGCTGATACTCTGCGATTGTATGAGTAGAAGCATCGTCTTTGATCAAATGCTAAGCGATCGCTTAGAGAGGGTTGTCAATTGGAAATAAGGATTCTGATCCGATTGACAAATCAATCACGATTTTGATATCTTCTTATCCGAGGAAAGACGTCCATGGAACCCAAACCTTAGGTTGGTTATTTTTAATTACGAATTTTTATTCCAAATTTATATTCTGCCTTTTTAATTATTGAATCAAAATCCAAAACCCCCCTTTTAATTTTCTGTTCTCATAAGCGATTTTAACCAAAACAATTTCCTTGAGAGACGACTTAGGGTTTCCACTTTACTGCAAATTTTCTGAACCCTAAAGAATTAATTTTTAATTTGCGCGAGTTCGACAACTCGTGTCAAATTTGGCGCCGTTGCCGGGGAAATTGCATCGGTCTAAATCGTTTTCTGATTCTTGATCATCTTCTTTTTCATCTTCATCTTCTTTTTCTTTAATTTTCGTTTCTGAAAAAAAAAAAAAAAAAAAAAAAAAAAAAAAATTTAAATTTTTTTTTTTTTGTGTCTTATCGTACGTTTCGTGATTTTACTGCTGTATGCTTTGCCTATGATGCATGACTAGGAGTAATACCAGTGTTGATGATTTATATGCATATGACCCTGAGATAGATAGATCATTGCATGCTGCTAGTAGAGCTCGTAGGTTGACTTACAGTAGAGTTGTTCCTGAGCATACCTTAGAGTCTGTTGAGTCTATCGAGTCTGTTTGTTCGAGTCCTTTACATAGTGTTTATTCGTTTGGTCATTTATTTGATTCTGAAATCATGGGTGATAGAACACTTAAGCAATTGGCTGCTCCTAATGTTGATAATGAGCAGCCCTTGTGTATTCGTTATACTAATCCTGTTGTACCTTTTGAGCTTAAGTCTGGACTAATACACTTGCTGCCCAAGTTTCATGGTCTTGCAGGTGAGGATCCCCACAAACATCTGAAGGAATTTCATATAGTCTGCAGCACTATGAAGCCAACAGGGGTGGATGAGGAACAAATCAAGCTGCGTGCTTTCCCTTTCTCTTTGGACAGTGGAGCTAAGGACTGGTTGTACTACCTGCCACCTTCCTCCATTGTAAGCTGGAATGACATGGCCAGATTGTTTCTGGAGAAATTCTTCCCTTCATCCAGGGCCACTTCAATCAGAAAGGAGATCAGTGGCATAAGGCAAGCTAATGGGGAGAACATGCATGAGTATTGGGAGCGATTTAAAAGGCTTTGTTCAAGCTGCCCACACCATCAAATTCCAGACAATCTCCTGCTTGTTTACTTCTATGAAGGGCTGCTGCCTATGGATAGGAACCTTCTGGATGCAGCTAGTGGAGGAGTCCTGAGCAATAAAACACCTAATGAAGCCAAGGAGCTGATTGCTGAAATAGCTGCTAATGCTCAACAATTTGGCACTAGAGCCAACAGCAGTGCAGTCTTCCAAGTGCAAACTCCTCCAATGCAAAATCCAACAGTAGCAGCAACAGGAGCATCAAGCACAGATAACCAGAGAATGGAGAACAGACTTGATGAGCTGACATCAATGGTGAGGCAGTTGGCAGTGACACAGACTGTGCAACCTTCTGCTCAACAGATAAGCAACTTGTGTGGCATCTGCTGTGATCCTTCTCACCCCACGGATGCCTGTCCTTCCTTTCATCAAGACAACGATTTCCAAGATGATCAGTCTGTTGCTGCAATTTTTCCTGGAAAGCCACAGTACCAACAGCAGCAGCAACAACAGTACCAGCAGCAGCAAAATAATCCATTCTCCAACACTTACAATCCTGGCTGGAAGAATCATCCCAACCTCAGATGGAACCAGAATCAGCAAAATGTTCCATATCAAAGTCAACAAAATTTTCCATACCAGCAGAAGCAGCAGTTCATTCCACAGCAGAGACAAAACTTCCAGCAACCTGCTCCCCAACAGTTGCAACAACAACCACCAGTGCAGCAGCAAAACAGTGGCAGTGGTCCTTCTTTGGAGGACTTAATGAAACAGATGGCCACTAGCAATCTGCAGTTCCAGCAGAGGACTGAGTCTTCTATTCAGAATCTGCAAACACAGATTGGCCAGCTTGCAACGTCAGTAAATCAAAATCAACAAGCAAGTGGCAGCTCCCTTCCATCCCAAACAGTTCCAAATCCAAAAGGAAGCGGAAATGTGAGTGCTATTACTTTGCGGTCTGGAAAGCAAATGGAGGAGCCAACCCACACTGCTGCTGAGACATCCAATGGAGGTGACACTAGCTCCAAGAAGCAGAGCACTGATACATCTGATGTCCATATCCCTTTGCCATTTCCTCAGAGAGCCACTCAGTCAAAGAAGCAGTCAGCAAAGGTTCAAGATAAAGAGATACTTGACACCTTCCGGAAAGTTGAGGTGAACATCCCTCTTTTGGATGCAATACAGCAGATTCCGCGATATGCCAAGTTTCTAAAGGAGCTGTGCACCAACAAGAGGAGACTGAAGGGAGATGAGCAGGTTAACCTGAGTCAGAATGTATCGGCACTCATCCAGCCCATGCCTAAAAAGTGTCAAGATCCAGGGACATTTACTATCCCTTGCGTGATTGGCAATTCTGTTTTTCATGATTGCATGCTAGACTTAGGAGCTTCCATCAATGTTATGCCTGCATCTGTGTTTAAGTCTCTTGGTCTTGGTCCTTTGCGTGCCACTGGTATTGTGGTTACGTTAGCTAATAGGAGTAGTATTCACCCATCTGGTTTGATTGAGGATGTATTAGTCAGAGTTAATAATCTGATTTTTCCTGCTGATTTCTACATTTTAGAAATGGAGAGTGAGACTGCTACTAATAGATCCCCAATCATACTTGGTAGGCCTTTCATGAGGACAGCTAGGACCAAGATAGATGTTCATTCTGGTACTCTTTCCATGGAATTTGGTGATAGCATTGTGCATTTTAATATATTTGATGCCATGAAACATCCTAGGGAAGAGCATTCTGTCTTCTGCATAGATGTGATAGATGACGTTGTTGAGGATATTTCTGCTACATTCCTTGCTGAGTTTTCTACTGATTTTGATTCTGATTTCTGTGGTTGTGGTGATAGTCGAGAGTGCATTGTATGTGATGAAATAGCATCTCATCTTTCTGGTTTCAATGATGCACTAATTGATGATTCTGATTATGAGTGTGAATCTGCATTTTCTGAATTGCCTGCTGATATTATTGATGATCCTAATCCTGTTTCTGAGAATTTGTTTACAGGCATTGCTGCTGACTTGTTTTCTGCAGAATTTGCACCACCAACTACACCTCTTCCATCCATTGAGCAGCCTCCGAAATTGGAGTTGAAGGTTCTGCCCGACCACTTGAAATATGCATTTCTTGAAGAGAATGAGCAGCTACCAGTCATTGTGGCAAAGAACCTTCTACCTGAGCAGGAGGATAAACTGTTAACCTTGCTGAAGGAAAATAAGAGGGCAATTGGGTGGACAATGGCTGACATTATTGGTATTAGTCCTTCGACATGCATGCACCGTATTCTACTTGAAGAAGGAGCTAAACCAGTGAGACAACCCCAAAGGCGTTTGAACCCACTGATTCTAGATGTGGTGAAGAAGGAAGTAACAAAACTCTTGCAAGCTGGCATGATTTACCCCATCTCTGATAGCCAATGGGTGAGTCCTGTTCAGGTGGTCCCTAAAAAGTCGGGAGTCACTGTGATTGCCAACCAAAATAATGAGCTGATCACAACAAGAGCTCAAAACAGTTGGAGAGTATGTATAGACTACCGTAGGCTCAACCAGGCAACCCGCAAAGATCACTACCCTCTTCCATTTATTGATCAGATGTTGGAGCGGTTGGCTGGTAAATCGCACTACTGTTTTTTGGATGGATACTCAGGCTACTTCCAGATCCACATTGCACCTGAGGATCAGGAGAAGACGACCTTCACATGCCCCTTTGGCACATATGCATACAGGCGGATGCCCTTTGGACTTTGCAACGCACCAGGTACTTTTCAGCGTTGTATGGTAAGCATCTTTTCTGAGTTGTTAGAGGATTGCATGGAGGTTTTTATGGATGATTTTAGTGTCTATGGTTCTTCTTATGATGCATGTTTGGATAATTTGGGTAGAGTTCTGAACAAATGCATTCAAACCAATCTTGTGTTGAATTTTGAAAAATGTCATTTCATGGTTGAGTCAGGGATAGTTTTAGGGCATGTTGTCTCTAAAAAGGGTATTGAAGTGGATCCTGCTAAAATTGATGTTATTACTGCTTTGCCTTACCCCGCTTCTGTGCGGGAAGTTCGTTCTTTTCTTGGCCATGCAGGTTTTTACAGGCGCTTCATTCAGGATTTCAGCAAAATCGCTCTTCCATTGTCCAATCTCCTCCAGAAAGACATTGACTTTGAGTTTGGTGAAGCATGCAAGGCAGCTTTTGATCATCTGAAGCGCTGCCTAACCATAGCTCCTGTGATCCGGGCACCAGATTGGTCTATCCCATTTGAGTTGATGTGCGATGCATCCAATTATGCTGTTGGAGCTGTTCTTGCTCAGCGGGTCAACAAGGCCCCACATGTCATTGCATATGCATCCAGGACGTTGGATTCTGCTCAATCCAACTATACCACCACTGAAAAAGAACTCTTGGCTATAGTATTTGCTCTTGATAAGTTTCGGTCATATCTTTTAGATACCAAGGTTGTTGTTTTCTCTGACCATGCAGCTTTGAAATTTCTTTTAAAGAAAGCAGATGCTAAGCCTAGACTCATCCGATGGATGTTGCTGCTTCAAGAGTTTGACATTGAGATCAAGGATAGAAGTGGAGCGGAAAACCAAGTTGCTGATCATCTGAGCCGCATCACCTCTCTTCCATCTGACCCTGTACCTATTGGGGATGATTTCCCTGATGAGCAACTTTTACAGCTGCAAGGTAAGTTCCCTTGGTTTGCCGATTTAGTTAATTACTTGGTTGCTGGAGCGTTACCTGTTGACTTCACTAAGGCTCAGATTTTGAAATTGAAAAGTGAGTCTAAATACTATGTGTGGGACGATCCTTACTTGTGGAGATTTTGTAGTGACCAAGTGGTTAGGAGATGTGTGCCTGACAGTGAGACTCTATCTGTTTTAAATTTTTGTCATGCATCTGCCTGTGGTGGTCATTTTGGACCACAAAGAACTGCTAGGAAGGTTCTAGATTCTGGTTTATTCTGGCCTTCTCTATTTCATGATGCTTATGAGTTTTGTAAGTCTTGTGCTAATTGTCAGAGAGCAGGTAGCATTTCCCGTAGACATGAGATGCCCCAAAACCCTATACTTTTCTGTGAGGTTTTTGATGTTTGGGGTATTGATTTTATGGGTCCCTTTCCTGTTTCCTTTGGTTTTGCTTACATACTCTTAGCTGTGGATTATGTCTCTAAATGGGTTGAGGCGAAAGCCACCCGAACTGATGATTCTGCTGTTGTTGTAGATTTTGTCCGTTCTCATATTTTCTGCAGGTTTGGTATTCCTCGAGCTATTATCAGTGACCAGGGCTCACATTTCTGCAACAGGAGCATGGAGGCCTTACTTAAGAAATATGGAGTCCTCCACAAAGTATCTACAGCATACCATCCACAGACAAATGGCCAAGCTGAAATTTCAAACAGAGAGGTTAAGCAAATCCTTCAAAAGACTGTCAATGCTAATAGAAAGGATTGGAGCAAGAAGTTGGAAGATGCTTTGTGGGCATACAGGACGGCCTATAAGACTCCGATTGGAATGTCCCCTTACCGGCTTGTTTATGGTAAGGCATGTCACCTGCCAGTGGAGCTGGAGCATCGGGCATATTGGGCTGTGAAACAGTGTAACATGGACCTAATCCAGTCAGGTGGAGAAAGGAAACTACAGCTGCAAGAGTTAGAGGAGCTTCGTCTGGATGCCTATGAGAGCTCACGCCTATACAAGGAAAAGACAAAGGCATTCCATGATAAGCAGATCCTGAGGAAAGAATTTGCAGTGGGCCAGAGTGTGCTGTTATTCAATTCCCGTCTTAAGTTTATGCCTGGTAAACTCAGATCAAGATGGGATGGCCCCTTTATTATTACTGCTATTTTTCCTTATGGAGCAGTTGAATTAAGTGATAAGCAGACTGGGAACACATTTACTGTGAATGGGCATCGTCTGAAGCCCTTCTATGAAGGAACACCACAGCAGCCTGAGGATACAGAGATGGAAGCAGAGATCAGGCTGCTTGAAGCTGTTTATTCTCCTTAGGGAGCTCAGGGGAGTTTTCTTCCCTCTTTTCTTTTCTTTCTGTTATTTGCATTTTCTTTTCTTTCTGTTATTTGCATCTTCTTCTTTCTTTTCGTTTTTGATTTTTCATAGGAGATTTTCCTTTTCTTTCTGGTAATTATTGAGTGGTACATGGAGTAGACTTCGATCACAGTGTTTGATAGCACAATCTGTTAGGCTTTGATCTCGATTCTTGGATTACAACTACCTGTTGATTGATTCTGTGCTGTTGATTGCATGACTTGGTTTACCCTTGTTATCCCTTGGTGAGCCCCTTTGAGCCTTTATATCTTTTATTTCTTAAGCCGCATTACAAGCCTAAGTGAAAAACCAATTAATTCCACACCCTGGAGTTT